ATTGATCATGATCTTAAAATAGTTTAGAACTCCGGTATCAAAGGATGGAGAAACAGTCTAAGCCCAACTTGAAGTTAATGTTTGGATACATATATCGTCCCACCATTTATCGTTCATGGCTTCTCCTTTGGCTTTGGGTTGCCTAAATGTGATCTAATTAGAGATGTAATATTGTTAGCATATCCTTATTAGATCTATGGGCTTAAGGATACACTTTTTCTTAGACTTGACCTCATTTGGCATAGTACGTACAACTACCTCGGAAACTATCTCTCTCTAGACTACCTCACTCACCATAGGGGTTGAACTAGTAGCCTTACCTTACTCGGCCTGGGCCTACCTAGACTCTACTCAAGGACCTCCACCTTGAAGGGTTAACTTAAACTTAGTCTCTAAACTTGACTTAGAAGAAGACTGGAAGTTACTAATTGAATTCCTATTCGAAAGATCATACACTTACCGATTTGACCCAAAAGACATGGAAAATGAAAATTTATTGAGGACTATAGAAGAGAAATGGAGAAGACGAGATGAGGCAGGTTGGATGACCACTCAAGAATAGTGAACAGAGAAGAAACTGACAAGACCTTCGACCAATTTCTCTCCTCTTTTGTATGTGATTCAACGGCCAAGATGCATCTTGTATTGATGCTACATAGCATGCCTTAAAAACCAATATGACACCCCACTAGGCTTGCCAATTCCTGAGCCACCGCTCTATGTCCTAGGTGTGACGATTTGATAGTTTGTGGATTTAGAATCATCTAGCCCCATTGACTCCCGAACCGTCAAGAACTTTACATTGGAGTTATGGAATCCCACTCAGCCTAACTACTCTACCTCTTTTGCTCAAAGCTGACATTTGACTTGACATCTCATCTTTCACACAACCTCTAAAGGCAATATGGGATTTCGACATTAACCATAATGGTGAGAAACTTGGAGTGTTATGACCTTGGCTGAGCACTTAGGCTTATTAAATGCCTAAGTAACGCTTAGCCATGTGGTCCCTATCTTCAACGGAGGTAGAAATTAATCTATACTATTATTAAACGTGTGAATGAGAGTGTGGAGCTTTTGTTTGATTACAATATCCCAGTTTTTGAATTTGGTTATTTTCTATTTGTAAGGATGGAAATATAATTTGAATAACCACTTTTCTATTCATTCAAATGCCTTTCATTAAGTCTTATATTTGAGGCATTAATTCTCATTAACATTTATTGAATCATTTTCTTGAGTAGAATACCCCTATTTTTTAATTTGGTCCCTCTAATTGTAAGGTTACAAAATGTAATTTGAACTACTAACATTTATCCTCATTCAATTCCCTCTGGTTAAGTCTTATATTTAGGGTGTTAACTCCCATTCTTTTCCTATTTGGTCATGAGTCAACAAAATGTGTCAACCCTTAATGCCATAGTTAAATAATAATAATAATTAAAAAATATGAAATACACAAAAATATAAAATACAAAAAATTGTAGAAAACATTTGGGACTTCTCTAATATTATATATTTATCATATTAAACAAAAATATGTGTGACAAATAAATCTATCAAAATTACATACCTACCTGAGATTGGCTTTTATAAATAAGAAGCAACATTATAAAAAAAAATAAATCTATCAAAATTTCAAGCATTAATTAATTCAATTCAATTAATGCTACTGCACCTAAATAAATTCATGGCATAACCAACTTCTCATATTTCTTCCTTCTCCTATTATATTGAATCTGGATAAGCTTAGTCTCCTTGCTTCTCACTCTCTCTAACATGATTAATCGTTTATCTTGCAGGTCTATGAAAATTAGGAAGCCCCCTATTTGTTAAGGGGCCTTTTATCTTTATTTAACAATAAAATTAACTTTAAAACTGACTTCAAAACTAATCCCCAAATAAGGCCCAAAGCCCAATCAGCAGGAAATTGAAAAAAAAAAGATTTGAATTCTTTATTTAACAATAAAATTGATTTATTTAAATTAAACTGATTTTAAAACTGATAATTTTATATATTTATTTATTGTTTTATTTTATTAAATTAAATATATTATTATTCATAAATTTCTACTTATTTTAAATAAATCTTTTTTCTTAAACAATTTATCTTTTACAAATTCATTCTTTTCTTATACAATAATTTAGTGATGCTACGCTAGTTAATGGTAAATGGTGATGTTACGCTGCAGAGGTTTTCGGACTCTTCTGAAATAAGGGCTCCTGAACAGCTAGGCCAGCTGACCTTCTATTGTCATTTTCAGTAGCTCCTTCTCACAAGAGGTGCTGATCAGTGACGTTTAAAATGAAATGCCAATTAATTTTGATGCACCCAAAATGTCCAAAAGTAGAAAAAGCAAATGGGACCACACACCACCCAACTAACTAAATTGACATCTCTATCAGGGAAGTATGTCGGTTTCATTGGGGACCATCCAAGACACCATTCATTGACCATTTCGTGGTATGCTATCAGACCGTTAGTTAACATTGAATTTGAGAGGCAGGATTTTCTGATGTGCAGGTGGATATGCCGTGATCACAATTTATTTGCATGATTTTTACCTTTAAGAGATATAGGCATTCTCTCTCTAACCATTATTTTTTTTTGAAAAACGACCATGTGTCAGAATTCATAGGCCCAAAGTACGTTGTGATAGGTGTCACTCAGAATTGGTGTTAATTCATAGATTGTATGAGTGCATAGAATGTAGGTTTTTTATCTTTTGAATGTTTATAGATTTGTACGGGAATTTAGAAATCTGCATTAGACCTGGTCGTATTCCTCTAGCTATTTTTTTAGGCTTGTCCTGCCAATGTTATTAATCCATTAGGGTTGAACTGTTTAAACTATTACCTGTCAAGATGTTTAGGTTTGGATTTCTTAAGGCTACATTTGGAAACAATGCAAATAAGTGTGAATGTAAATATGTAAAGTATAAAACATTTCATATAAATTGTAAAATTGGGTTAGTTTTGTATTGACAAATTTACATTCTTACCAAACATACATTTAGCTGTAATGGATTCAAACACAAATTCTAATAAAGTATATGCTTTTTTTTTATCAAAAGCCCACTTGAATGCAAATTTACTTCTTTTTTATTAATGTAATTTTACATCTTATTATCAATGTAAACATGCATTGGTCTTTCATTTGTCAATGCATAAATGTAATGTTACCAAACACCGGCAAAAGTGAACCAAAGTACAAATTTATCCTGAACCAAAGTACCTAAATACCTTTTGGTAAAAATTTGATTGATCCAGGCAGTTGAACCATTAACTTATTTGATCCGGTCACTAAGTCATGTGTATTATACATTTAATGTAAATTTGGAGGTCGTAACTTTGCGTTAGGTTATATATTTGGGGTTATCTTCATATTGATTTGGGGTAGCTTTTAGAGATGTATAAGCCCCAAGGCGCCTTGCCCCATTTTTCTGAAATAATATTTCTATATAAAGTATGTATGGAACTCATTGCAATACTTTAGATAAATAGTTGCATCTGCTATAAGTGGCATTGATTATCCATGAGATTTAAATCTTGATGATAAATTGCAAGATCAATGTTTTTAAAGCTGATCCGAAACTGGAACCGCTTTGGCCACTAATTTTTGGGTCAACGGTTTGACCGTCCAGATTAAACGATGAGCCATTGCAATTTAAAAAAGTTAAAAAATAAAAAATAGTTAATATAGAAAACCCTCAAAACTGTTGTCCAGGTTGAAGGGATTGACAGTTTGACCGCTTAGGTCAGTGGATGATTGACCAATTCAACAGTTTTTGACAAGATTATGGTTCAGGGGTGAAACAGAACCGTTTGACTGGATGGTTTTATGGGCCAAACAGCCTGACCGTCCAGGTCAATGACAGTTCTCAAAAACCACGTGCAAGATGACCTACTTCAATCTAAGATGTCTCAAGTGCATGTTTTTTTTCTTCACTTTGTGGCATGGATACCCAATGCACCTATTTACAAGTGTTTTTGAGAAATTTATATTTTTATTAAATAATATATAAAAATATGTCTAAAACTGAAATAAAAAACTAAAAAAATAAAGGGTAAAATACAAAAACCTCCCCTATAGTTTTATTTTAACAAATACCTCCCTAAACTTTTCAGAAACTTGACAAAAGCCTCCCTTCCGCCACCATCCTAGATGGAAAATGTTAGACTGATGCACTAGTTTTTCCAAATATCCATTTTACCCTTTTATAAATTATTTTACATACAAAATTACTAAAATAATCCCATTTTAACTCAACAAAAGTACATATTTCAGTAATTTTGTATGTAAAATTACTGAGATGATCGTTAAAGGAGGTTTTTATTGAGTTAAAATGGGATTATTTCAGTAATTCTGTATGTAAAATAATTTATAAAGAGGAGAATGGATATTTGAGAAAAACTGGTGTATCAATCTAATGTTTTCTGTCTGAGACAGTGACAGAAGAATTGAGTTTCTTAAAAGTTCAGGGGGGATATTTGTTAAAATGAAATTATAGAAGAGGTTTTTATGATTATCAGAAAGTGTTTTACTCAAAACTAAAAGATGCATAATTTAAATTACCGATACACAAAAGTGTAACAATACTTTGAACCATGGTTGCAATTACTGCTTGTCCTAGTATTGCCTTGATTATTCTTCCCTACTATCTCTAGCTATATGCATACATATCGGTTTCCATTGTTGCATCAAAATTTATTTCAATGGTGTCATGATTCGGTTGGTTCCATCTTAACCAAACACATTTTCCTGGTTTTCCAAGTCTATCAGCATGTTTGCCTCCATATTATTAGTCCACATTTTCATTGTTAAATAACTTATTATATATTTCTTCTGAACCATACAAGAAATCCCTCCTCCTATATAGTTGGGCCTGCAAAGTGTTCTTTGTGTGAGGGCAATTAACAAAAAATATGGTATAGATATTCCTCTTCACACAACTAATGAGCAGTCGCAATCATCTTTTGTAAAAGCAAGCAAGTTTAACTAAATAATAAATAACAAACTAACACTTTTTATTTAACTATGCAAAAGCAAGTTATCATGACTGCACAGAAAGCTAAATAACCAGTCTTCATAGGCACAGACAGGCCCAAAATAAATAGAAACAAAACAAAAGATTCCCACCCCCAAAATATTATTTGTTGCCATTGATACAATTTACTGAGGAAGCTTGTTGAGCTTACAGTACTCATAATCCTTGTATTTCTTGCTCTTGTATTTGGGGGGATTCTCTTCATTAACAAGTTGGGGAAGGGGGCCAACAACCAGCTCTGCCGGCGGTGAACAGAAGACCGGCCATGACATCCTTGCTTTGTTCTTGTTCACTGTGGTCCTATGCAGCACACTCTTGTACTTGCCATTGCTGAGAATCTACAATCATAATTTCATAAATGAATCCTTGATACCGATTAGAAGAAGAATATAACAATTCAGAAAATTCTTAGTTAGGTCCGTTTGATCAGGTTAATATACTGAAAACTAATCAAATGGAGAAGTTAATTTTGTTATTAAATTACAAAAGATCTCTCCTTGTTCATTTGGGTCAATTTATATGTAGAGATTGACTTCAATATAACAGGGGTCACATATAACGTACCCCCAATGGTGGACACACCAGGATAGTCTAATCATCTTAGAGGGTGATCATTGCACGCCATTTCCTGCCTATAGCAAACTATCTAGACCCGTGGATGTTGAGAAACCATTTAGGAAACTATCAACATGTGGCTTATGAGGCCTAATTAAACCTTTCGGAGTATCTTCCAATAGATGTTGGTCTTTTGGAACGTGTTACCAATCTCTCCCCGTCCCCCATCTTGTGTAGCCTCTCCCGTTCTATAATAAAAAAAAAAAGGTTTTCATAATTCAGTTACGCTTAGTGAGGAGCTAGGATTCTAAGGTGGATTGAATCTTATCTATGATTGATGTTAAATTGATGGACAAGATGCAGTTTTTAGAAGGTTATTAATAGACTAGAAGGAGACTGCAATGTCAGATATGGTGGATTGCAATCCACTTGTCCCTAATAACCCACACTCATAAATGGAGTAACCCAACCGTACAAATAACCCACCTTCATAAATACACTTAAATCGGAGCTGGAAAGACGCGCTAACCAATTGATGAGACTTGTGAGACCACAGCCAAAGAAAAAAAAAAGGAGTAATAAGGACAACTTTTGGGAGTTTAATATCAATAAAAGTAATCTATTTAAAAAAAATAAAAAATAAGTTAATTTTTTTAAATAATATCACTAAAAGGTAAAAACACAATTCATCTTCTTCTTGCTATTTGTTTATAAAAACCGTTGTTTGCCACTATCATCCGCTGCCTCCCACCTCCGCCTCTGATAATGTTATCGAAGATGGGTGGAGACAAAGGTGGCGGCAGCAACGGGCAGAGGAATGTATATTTGTAATATATAAGATATAATATTTTATATTTTTCTAGTTTTTAATTATATTTTTCTATAATATACATGTAAATAATAAAAAACCGATTAACCGGTAGTTACCATTGGTTCCACAGGCTAGTACACAGGCATTGCACCCTATTTATGAGTGTGGTCATGAGGGTTTTATCCCAAAGCTCAGAACCTTAACGGTACATTACGAAGGAATTTACTTTTGTTAGTATGCGGTTTTAGCTCAAAATCATAGACTTTGATGTGTTAATGTGGCCCGTCAAAGTACGACAATACATCAAAGACCATGATTTATAGGATTTCACCCCTTACATCGTAGCAAGAGTACAAAGGTAAACCTTCAAAGAATTCAGACACTATTCCATGACAACCAAACAATAAAACAACCACCTCGATCGTGAGGGCAGGTACGGGGTACCCACGGAAATTATTACCATATATAAAAGAATTTTGTACAATGTCAAATGATGCTATAGTTTTATGCTATAAATTTTGAAGATTTTTTCATTTGCTTTAATATGGAAGTTGAAGTTGTTTTAATGTATGGAAAAGTTTTGAAGAATTTTTAATGTTCAACAAATGGACATTTTTATTTTTTAATAATTTAATTATACTACCTTCCATGTAGATCAATGGACATTTTTTATTCAACCCCCCCAATTGATTGTCCTCCTGACCAAGAAATAAAAAATGATTAAATAAATTAAATGAAGTGACGTGTCTATTCACATCGACGGAGAATATTACATTACTACCTAAAAATTCTAATCCTGGGCTGAATTGTAATTCTCACATAAATTAATGATTATTTAGTTTTTGTGTTTTTATTTTATGAGAGATATTTGCAATCCAAGGTTATAAAGGTTGTTGTTGAAAGGGGCATTGAACTGATTAAATTCAGATCTGAGTCGGTAAAAATATTGAGGACGTATTTAGCGAAAACGGAAAATACGGACAGACCCAATGTAGATTTCTGATTTCCCAAAAAAGAAAGTATTGGCATAAGAGAGATGAGGAAAATTACCTGAATTTGGTCACCGATGTGGATGATGAGAGCGTTGGGGACGTATTTAGCGTCAAACCAGTGGTCATCTTTGAATACCTGAAGTCCAGGAACGTCGTTGGGCACAAGAAGTGTCAAGGCCGACAAATCCGTGTGAGCCACCACCCCAAGAGCCAGATCCGGCCGAGGACATGGAGGGTAATAATTAATTTTCAGAAGGTACTCCAACTCATCTCCACCCACGGCGTCTTTTATCACATTTCCTTCAAGTCCCAGCCCCAAAGACAGATACCTCGTTAGCTTGTCCACCACCCTTATCAAGTATTTGACGTACTCTTCGTTGGCCTCCCTGTACCAAAATAAAGAAAACGAACTAACTTCAGCATTCATTCTAATCAACGTGCAGAAGACTGCTTAGGGTGAGAGAACTAAGAATACAGGCTAGCATGCGCCGGATTCAAACCTGTAAGACGGTGGATTCTTGGGCCAGAACCTGTAGTTGATGCGGTTTGCAGGCCAGACGTTGTGGAAGAGGAAATCAACCCAGGCTTTCTTGCCTTCCACTTCTTTCTGAAGCTTGGTTCCATAGCCTTCAAGGCTCTCGGCGTCAGGAGGCCTGGCGTAGGCCTCCTTCTCTTCTTGTGGCAGCTCAAAGAACTCTCTGCCGGCCGTTTGTAGTCTCTGGATGACCTCACTGGGTATGCCGTGGTTGACGACCTGGAAGATGCCCCACTCTTGGCTAGCTTCGGCGATTGCACGGACCACGCTTTCCTCGTCTGGGTTGCCCAGATCAATGACCGGGACTTCCGGGACAGGTCCACTGTAGGTGGTGACGGCGGGTTGCTCCCTCTCTGATCGTATGAACTCAGGAGGGATGGTGTCGATGATTTTGGATATTGAAGCAATAGCTTGCACTCGCTCCACCTCCATTGTAGCCAATTGCGGGACGCTCTCTCTTTATTTCTTTATTTCTTTATTTCTTTATTTCTTTCTCTCTCGCTCGCTCGATGACTCTGAGTTCCTGCAACTTTCATGTCTGGGATTTTATAGCCGATTTTAGAGGTAAAGGAAAAGAGCAGAGATCCTAGAATATAGGGACGTGGATTGAAACGTGGAGATATCATGTTCACTTGTTAGACGCAACAACTGCACGATATACGTGATCGATGACACAGGGGCTCTAGCTGAGCCCATTGTGGGCTTAATTGTTGGGGTTGGTGGGAAGGACGCGGAATTGCCCTTGGTTGCGAAGAGAATTACTTCGGAGGAGTGTGGAGTTGCTGCATGGGGATTAGAATGTGGCCATCTGGTACGCTACACAGTACACAGGTCAGAGAAAAAATGGAGAAAGTCAGGGGCATTTACAAGATTTGGTTGTAGAATGGGGCTGAAATGGCGAAAATAGGTTTCTATTGTGGTTTGTTATGGTTGAAACTTGAAAGCTCCAGATAGGTTTCTATTGTGGTTTATTATGTTTGAAACTTGAAAGCTCGATAATAAATGTTTCATGTTAGATTGGCACGGGCGAGAGGTGTAAACTGGGCCGTACCGCCCAAAGCATGGCGACATGTGGGCCATGTTAAGCCTGGCATGATGGTTTGGATCGTGCTGGGCCTTAGTTCTAGGTCCATGGGCTGGTATAATACAACACAATTATGCGTGCCATGCAGCAAGTGGCTCATATGCTGACATAACCCATGGCCCGTAGTGGGCTACGCTCGGCCCGTTCGATGAATTAATCATTGGAAATCTTTTTATAAAAATGCCTCCAATAGTTATAAACAACTATATAGGGGTATTTATGTATTTTGATTTTTGGGAAGAAAAAATGACATAAATGTTCCCCCAACAACTATACCACTATTAGTCTAGAGGGGTATTTTGGGTAAAATGATAAATAAATTTACAATGACCAAAATATCTCTCCCAACAATTAAAAATGGCTAGTTTTTAGGGTATTTTGGGTAATTGAATTATTTTCAATTCTTATAAATAGCCCTATCCTCTACCATTCTCATCACATCAATTCAACAATTCTCTTAATCTCTTCTCTAGTTCTCATACTCTCTCAAGTCTCAATCTCTTAATCTCTCATACATTTTTTGATTCCCCAATTCTCAACTTTATTGGAGTTTCAACAAGAAGAAGGTTTGTTCAACAACTCAAGCATCTCAACTCTTAAGTTAGCAATTTGGGAGGCTTGGACTCTTAGAGTTGAAAGGCTTTAACCGTTGAAATCAAGTTGGGATTTCGAACCGACAATCGGGGTAAGTGTAATTAAATTAATTTTTTATTTTTTAGAATTAATAAAAAAATGGTCGGCTCCTCTGAAAACCAATTCCCCAACATGTTCAATGTCAACGATATTCAATCGCAACATGGAAGCATTAACACCAATATGAATGCTATTGATATTGATGGAACTTCTACCCCTAGTACTAATACTGGGGGAAAGAAAAAGAAAAACCATTAAGTTTATTAGCTTGGTTTGAAAAATATTTAAAATATAGGAGGTTCAAGGGAAGGGAAAAAGAGTCATTTGTCAAAAATGTAGGAAAGACTTTATCTATTGTATCAAGGATGGTACTAGCCATTTGGGCAGACATTTGCTCACCCATGAGAAAGAAGAAGAAGAAGAAAAAGGGAGAGAAACAATACAAACACAAATTAGGCGGGGGGGTTTTGGTACTTTTAAATATTCTCAAGAAAAAATGAGGCAAGAATTAACAAAATAGATTGTACATGCTAAACAATCATTTTTGTTAGTTGAAGATACTAAACTTGAAAAATGGTTACGTAATTTTGTAAATCCACAATTTAAAAATGTTTCTAGGAATACTATTAGATTAGATGCTTTAAAAATTTTTTATTCATATAAACAAAATTTAATTTATATGTTATCAAATCTTAATTCTAAAGTTGCAATTACTTCTAAAATTTGGATTTCTAAATTTAACATAAGTTATATTTGTGTTACCGATCATTTTATTGATGAAAATTGGCTTTTAAATAAAAAAAATTAAGTTTTATTAGGCTTAAATGGCTACATACTGGCCTACCTATTGCTGCAAGTATTTTAAATACTTTACATGCTTATGGAATTGACAATAAATTATTTTTTATTAGTTTTGATAATGGTAGCAATAATGATTTAGCAATAAAAATTAAAAAAACTCAATTAAAACCATGCTATGTTAGAATTATGGTAGCAATAAATATTAAAGTCAAAATTATGGTTTAAAATATAAATATTTTATATTAGATGTTAAACATAGATGGGATTCTACCTATGCTATGTTAGAAAGTTGTATTTCTCACAAACAATTTCTTAGTGATTTTTATAATGAAAAAATGCCGACTAATATTATATTTAAAGAAGACTTGGAAATGGCAATTTGTATAAAAGATTTTTTAAAACATTTTTATGATGCAAGTAATGAATTATCGGGTATTTATTATCCAATTAGTTGTAATTTACTTTATCAATTAATGATGATTAGTGATTGTTTTGCAAAATATAGAAAGAATCCACAATTTAAAAGTATTGTTGAAATAATGAAAGATAATTTAAAAAATATTGAGAGAATATTTCTCCTCTTTATTGCTTAGCTACAATATTAGATCATAGGATTAGGAAAAAATGGTTTAGATATTTTACTTGAAACATATTGTGAAAATATGAATACTGAAATTAGAAATAAAAAAGAAGAAATTAATAGTTTATTATTTGAAATGTATAGTTTATATGAATCTGAAGTAATATGGAATAATAAAAATTCTACAACTTGTATAATTGCATCTTCCACTTTTGAACTTGAGTCCAGTAGTGGAAGAGAAAACTATTTTATTTAATAAGAGGTAGAAATCCATTGCCTTAACAACAAGTTTATTTATTGAACTTAATTTTTATTTACAAGCAAATTTTTCTACTCTAGGTGATTCTTCCTTCACCTCGGAGGGAATAAATAATTTTGATATTTTAGCCTGGTGGAGTGAATTCGTCGCCATGACACGTGATCTACTAACCCCTCCAGTGTCTACATTTCCATCGGAGACAAGAGAAGTTGTATGAATGATGAAAGTCTAGAGATGCGCATCTTCTTTAAAGATTGGCTAGCTACTTAAAATAAATTATAAGACAAAGGAGGGCATGACACTATACCTGATGTTTCACTTGAAGCACATGATCAAAGTCAAGAACAATAGGAGAAAATGATGAAGTCAATATTTTTTGTATACTTAATAGTTGTATAACATTGTTTCAAATTATTGTAAATTTTGTTTTAATTTTATTTAATTTATTTGATATTTTAAATAACATAATTTTTATTTTCAATTTGTAACTATATTGTATTTTTATATTTTATTAATTTATTCTATTTTCCAATTTTCAAATTTCATTCATCCAACCATTGTATGCTTTGTATCTTTCAAACTTAAATGAAATAAAATTCCTATTTTCCTTTCAATTTGTTATTCACTTTGAGTCTTTGTCTCTTTGACTTCTTATTTGGTTAAGTATTTTTTTTCATTTCTTTGTTAGATTTCTTATTTTTTAAATAGTTTCTAAAGGAAAGTTAAATATTTTAGTTTTACTTAACAAAAGAAATAAAAAAAAATAAAAAATGTCAAAAAAAAAATAGTATGGCCTAGTTCGACCCACGCCCAAGACCCAACCTGGCACAGCCTATAGCCTACCCGGCCCAGGCCCACGGCATGGCACGGTCCCGCATGGCCTTGGGCCGTGAGCCATGTTAGGCCGTTCCCCCAAATTATCCCTAGGGAGGGTGGCACGGTCCAAGATGGCCTGCAGGTCGGCATGGCCTATTTTACGCCTCTACATGCATGGGGTAATGTAATGTAAGTAAAAAAAAATTATGATGACGGAAGGCATGGTACCAGAAAGGCTTCGAACAAATAGGAATGGCAACACGGTCAGGTATGGGCCGGGTCACTCGTAGTTAAGATAGGTAGGTTAAGGGTGGGCATTAATTCCCTATTAAGGAAGGGAAATTTCTCAATTTTTCCTGTTTAGAGACAAGAGAGAGCTATCTAAAAATAATTTAATGTATGGATATTTTAAAATATGATTATGAGAATTTAGAGGTATTTTAAGAATTGGATTGTCATTATGACAATTTAGGGTATTTTAGAAATGAAACTATAGGATCTTAGGATTTTAAGAATTTAAAGAAAACTTAGAGATATTTTAAAAATCAATATTAAATCTAAAGATATTTTACTAATTTACCATGATATTCAGAATAGGAATCATATGCAAATCTCATATTTGCCCTACCCCTGATTCAAGACAAAAATATTTTTCCTATCCCTACCCTATCCCTATTTGAAATTAGGAAATATCTACTCGGTTGAGGGTAGGGCAATGCCTAACCCCAATTTTACGGAAAAATTCGCCATCCCTACAACCAAACAAACTGCCCCATGCTGATGAAAACCCACATCGTGGGTTACCTTTTCCATGATTTATAATGCGGGTTGATTGGTTGTAATAATTTCCCATATCATTATAGCCGATCAAACTCTCATTTTATTTAGAGGAATAATTTGAAAAAAAAAGGCTTTTATAACAAACAGTCTACCAAGTGCCTCGCATGCACATCTACATTGGGAACATCTACCATAAATAATAATTAATAAGAACGGGAGATCTTCCCAATGAATGATAGGATGTATGTGTGAGGCGCCTGTAAGGCGCCAAATGTGAACAGCAGATCCGGTCTCACACAACAGAAGGTAGCCCATCATAGTTGAGGCTGTTTTCGATCTCCCTAGTCATGAATCCTTATCTCATACAGTCTCTGTTTGTTTTTCCATTATCATTGAAAAAATATTGGTTAAAATTATACTTTCATTTCATATCCATAGTAACGTTGTATCGTTGTACCATATCATATATCATATCATAGTAACGCATCTTATCGTATGACCATATCATACACATGCAGTAACGCATCTTATTATGTATAAGAAACATTCAAGTAGCTCTGACATGTTT